TGGGAGTGAGACGCAGGGGATGCTGAATGCCTGTGTGCAGTTGTCCACCTGCACGTGTCCCAGAACACATCCAGGCAGTGTGGAGAGCAGCTTTCTGCAGGTAAGTGTATGGGGGGAAGGGGAAGGGGCATGGTGGGGGGGAAGATTGAGACCCCCACAGTGAAGGAGGGAGTGGGGCAGGGGCTGGGGCTGGCGGCACTGCCCAGCCAAGGCAATGCATGGGAACTGGGGCTGGGGTGGAGAGTGGGATGGAGCCACAGGAGGCTTGTCTGGTGTGGGAAGGGGAGGGGAGGGAGCAGGAGGGGCTGCTCCCTGCTGCTGCACACCCCCCTGAGGGGAGGCATGGGAGGGCATGTGCCCCCCATATTTGTGCATGGAGCAGATGCAGAATGCTTGCTGTGCGCTTGGGGCTCTCCACCTTGCTGCCTTTGCCCCAGGGACCCCGTGCTGGTGGTGCACTCCCTGCCTGCCTGGCAGCAGTTGGGGTTGCGAGGTGTGCCTTCTGCCAGCTGGGCAGAGGGCACATGGCCCCCAGGGCAAAGGCAGCAGGGTGGAGAGCCATCCGCTGTCACTCCGCTCAGCTCTGCTCCACTCTGGCTGTGGCCAGGGGAGGGCTGTGGGGGGGTGGGGAAGGAGCAGTGGGTATGTGCCATGCCACCCCACCCACAGCCCAGCCAGGTCCACCCAGCCTCCGCCATGGGCAGGGGTGGCACCAGTCTTTTACCAGTGGAGGGGTTCGGCTGGGGCTGGGCTTGGCTGGGCTGAGGGCTTGGGGGGGCTATAGCCACCTCAAAATTCACCTTAGCTCCCCTGTAGCCACCCCTCTGAGTGCCACTGCTGTCCACTCACCCTACACAGCTGAGCCCAACCCATGCCCACCCACTCCAAGCCCAACCCTGGCCCAGCCCCACCACTGGGAAGAGGCTGGCACCACCGCTGCTGGGAATGTCACACCTTTGCAAGCTCAGCTGTGCAGGGCAGGTGGGCAGTGGCAGCACCAGGAGGGGTGAGGTGAATTTTGGGGTGGCTATAGCCACCCCCAACCCACAGCACCACCCCAGTTCATAGGGCACAGAGACCTACCCCAGCCTTGGAGGCAGCAGCACAAAGGAAAGGGGCCTCTTTCCCCTCTGGAGCCCAGGGCCCCAATAAATCTTAATCTGCCACTACGCATCCCTGCCTGGTCCTGCAGGAGGTCCTGGGCAGGGGCAGCCCCCAGTGACGAAACCATTCTCTGTCCAATTCCACTGCGTGATGGCTTGTTGCTGGGCCAGCTATCAGGGAGTCACTCGCTTTCCCTCTCTTCCCCTTGAAGGTGGACAGGAATACCTGCCCACCCATTACATTTGTCACAGAAAAACTTCCTGTAACACTGAAACTGCTGTTTTAAACAGCATCTTTTTTGTTGTGATTTACCATTTTGGAGTTTGATCAGTGCTTTTTTTTTTTTTTGGCAGGACAAAAATATAACTGTGTGGCCTCAAACTTTTTGTCATGCCACAACAGCAGATAAGTTATGTCTGTCCAAGCCCAGAAGATACATCTTACAGGCTTTTACACAGTGGCCCCTTTTGTTCAGGGAAGTAGGCATGATGACAAGGTGGGGAAAATGTAAATTCAGACCAGTTAGGCATAGCTTACGGTAACACCCAGGGAGCTGAAGCTGGGTCCAAACGTCCTGATCCTCCAAGAATTCATTATATGTCTTTCGCCCAAATTTGAAACTACATTTGTCTGCTTTAAAAATGCCTTCATCAGTAAATAGATGTATTTACTCCCACATGACACATACCTTTCCCCACAAAATTAGCTTTTCAAAATTGAAAGGAGTGTCTTAAGTGAGGAACCAATTTCTGTCTGGAATAGAAACATAGGGGCATTGTAAATGCAGCGTCACGGTTTTAATCTTTTCATAGACACTGTTGAACTACTTGAGCAGCCAAAAGCTGCTGCCCATGCAGCAGTGGCTGTGAGGGGGTGAAAAATGTAGTGATGGCCGATCAGCACTGGTCATTCAGTCATGATCCCACCCATGGTCAGGATTCAGATGTGGCCTGGTAAAATCTTTTTGCTTCAATCTACCTTCCCAAAACAAGATGTATATCTTATTTGAAGATATGTGGTACATACAGAAAATACTGTAAAATATTTTGTTCCTTCAGTGTGGTCTCTTGTTCTGTATGAGTCCTTTAGGATTTGAACTCAAAGGAATTAGATCAGGGGTTAGCAGCCTGTGGATTGTAGATTAGATCCAGCCCATGGATGTGGGGCTTTGAAGGCATTCATCCCTGAGGGGCTTCAGCTCACAGAAATGAGCACCAGCTGCAGACACTCTCCCTGTGTTGTCACAGAGACAAGCGGTGGTGGCAGCAAGATCCTACTAGCCACCCTGCCTGCTGGCCTCTGACCCAGCGTAGGCCATTTCCACTCTCACCTGGAAAAGGTTGCCTGGTCCTAAATTAGACGTAGTCAAAGAAGGTGCCAACCACATTTTCTGAATTTGGGGACATGATGAGGGGTTAATTAGACAATTATTTTTTGTGGTATCTTTTATTGGACAAGCTACAAGTGGGAGGGGAAGTTGGACAAGCTTCCAAGCACAAAATGGTCATTGAACATTTAAGAAAGCATCAGAGATTTGCTGTACACTCATGCCATCTACTGGACAGTAAAGGAGCCTAGGAGAGAGCTGAGATACAAGGGCCCTGAAGCAGTCAATGGGAAAGAAGGGTGTGCCACTCCAGAACCACCCCCAGAAAGTGCATGGAGTTACAAAGTGCACTGCAATTGTCTCTATATAGGCTCTCTGGGACAGTCCCATTCTTAGTGGTGTTGGCCTTTGCCTCTGCCAGGCCCCACAGTTCCAACACTGGACCTTCAGCTCCACTGGCCATGTTTCACCAGGCCTCTCCAGATGAGCGGAGCCCCCTTGGAACCCTTCTGGGAGCAATTCAAGCACTGTGTATTGGCAGTAGCCATTCAACAGCTACTAGCTGAATACAGTATTTGAGGGCCTTTTGATGACAACAGGAAAGCAGAGTTCATGTGCCTTCCACATTAATGTCACAGCCTGCCACAATGCCCCACAGCCCCTAGGAATATTCCCTGTCTTCAAAGCCAGCATGGTTCTTTTGGGAGTTCCCTGCTTAAGATACAGTCTAATTGGTTTCAGGTTCTATTCCATGGCTGGCAGTCTTTCAGAATTAATGTGTAGCCTTTGCTCTTCCAGCATCTTTTCCAGGGAAATGCAACCTTTTTTGGACAGGTCTTGAGACTTCATAGACACCCACCTGGATGGCCAACACCCACCCCAACTCCCATGTCCCAAAGGAAAAATTGATTCCTCCACACCTAGCAGGAACAATACCAAGTGGGACAATACCAAGGGGAACTGAATTATACAGTTTTCTACCCCACATAGGGCATGTCATCTGAGGGGCTAAATTCACCAAAGAACCTGCTAAGCCCCTAAAATGCTACCACACCCTTCCATCAGTTTCTTCTCTTCTCTGGCAGCAAGGCACTAAGATCTTGCTAACCCTAAAAGAAACTTTAGAACCCAGAACTACTACAGGGCATTCAGCCAGCCCCATGGATGGCTGTGCCCTTCCCAAGCTCCTAGGCTTCAGAAGGAGTGGTGAGACTCCATTTCCTAGATCAGGGGTATCCAACCTTTTTGAATGTGGGGCTGGATCATGAAATGTTTATCACCCAGTGGGCCGGCAGGAGTGGGCGCTCACGCGGCCTGTCCAGTCCAGCCGCGGCCTGGGGGGGCAGGGGTCACCGGGGGGGGCGGGGGTCAGGGGCCGCCCCCTGCCCCTGCCGTGTCCTCCCTGCCACCTGGGCAGCCTCGAAGATGCTTCCACACCTGCTCGCCCGGGCTCAGCAACCAGGGGGACATGCAGGGACCCTACAGGGGGTGCGGGATGTGCAGGGACACCCCCCTGCTCCCTCTCCCCTGGGGCAGCCCAAGCCCAACCGGCAGGGATCCCTCCCTCCCAGGGCCCGTGACTCACCACTCCCAGCACGATGTCTGCAGGTGTGGGGGTATGCGGGGAGGCGGGAATGGTTCCAGCTTCCTGCCCCAACAGCCACAGCAGCAGTGGCAGAAGCATTTCTCATGGGCCTGGCCACAGCATCCCTCCATGCCGGCACCCGCACCCCGCACACCTGCTTGCTGCACCACGACCTGCTCCGGCCCATGTGGCCGGCGAGACCGGCGCAGGGCAGGGTCAGCATGCAAATGAGGAAGGGAGGGACGGGGCTAGGATGGGACACAGTGAAATGAAGGGGGAGGGGAGGAGCCGCACCGCGTTGGCAACGTCAAGCTGATGTGGTGCATGTAGGAACCTTGTCCCTGCCCCAGCCCTTCAGCAGCCATTAGGAAGCTGCTGAGGGGCTGGGGGAGGGACAGGGGGTGGGAACAAAAGTAAACAGCATTTACTTTTGTTTCCCATCACAGCACTGCGGGCCACAGAAAATGGCTTGGTGGGCCGCATGGCGGCCGCGGGCCGTATGTTGGCCAAGCCTGCCCTAGATCCTAGTTCTTCTCATGTAAGGGTAGTTGTTAAAGGGTAACTTCAAGCCTTCTAGCTGCATCTCCGAGAATCACAAACCAGTTTTTGACTAAGCAACATTCTCTAAGTGTTTTCCCTTTGTAGGCCCAAGTAAAGTGCCCTGAGAGAGTCTTGAATACTAAGGACTGGTCTACATTAGTGCTCAGCCAGAAGCAGCTCTCCTGTGGTAGCAGAGTTACCTCCTCCTTTCTACAGCAGAGTTATTATTTCACCTTTTCTGAGCAGTGTGTGGCTTCTGCTGCTGCCCGGCCCTGTGCTGACTGCTGCCATCTTGTGCCCTCTGCCAGCTGCGGCAAGGTCTTCAGTAGCTAGTACCACCCTAGGTGTACTTTGTGCTCTGGCAGCACCACTACTGAGTGAAGCCACATAATGCTGCTAGAAACACCTAGGTATGTGCATGCTTGGCACCTGCTGTTTGCATCCAGAAGTTCTACTGCCAGAGTAAGGTAGAGACAGATGAGGCCTAACTTTAAGCAAGTGGCTTAAATATTTTAAACTAGAAATAGCAAGGACCACATTCCCATGAATGTCTTGCAACAAGAGCAACATTGCCTTCTGGAGAATTACTTGATCATCAATGAACATATCAGAGATAATAAAGAGCTGACAGCTGATGATTAAGAGTAGTAATAAATCTTGATTTCTGCTGTTCTCTGGTACAAGTGCTTGTACTCAATTCTGTTTGTCACTTGTCAGATAATAGGTTGTATTCAGTATGTCTCAGACTTCTGATATCCAAACCTAACCTATGCGACTATCTATTATGCTCCTTGGGTGGTTCTTGATTACTTAACATGCATGTTGATTGGTTAGGAATGCCAAAGTGATCTGACAGGCACTCTCCAAGATTACAGTAGATGACAGTTGACTGAAAAAGACCCCTGCCTTACAATTTGCAAGCTAGTACTCCTGCAACTCAAAGAAAAGGGGTCACCCTCACTTAATTGCCTGCCAATATTGGTAATTACCTTTACCCAATCAGCAAATATAAATGGTTAGATTACAGCTTTAAAATCTAAATGGGAACCTATAAAATTGGAAATACTGCTGCCACCATACGCTCACAGTGGGCACAATGGGCATCACACTCCCAATATGCATATATTGCTGACCTCCCCTCCCAGACCATTAATCAATATATGAACATAGAAACAAGGTTCTTCATAGTTCTGAGGTGGGGTAGCTGGGCCAGGGTATGTACTGTACTTAAATTAATCTAGTAGCATGGGGAGGGGACAAGGTATGTTTCTTAGGTCTAGTAGTGCAGGGGTGAAAGGGATGCATTCAGGTCCAACGCCGTGCTCCAGTGCTGCTGTTGAAGAGATATTCTCGGCCTGTCACTGGAGACAGAAAGCAGGGTACATGTGTCACAGCATGAAGGACCCAATCTCCCCAGCCCTGTGGAATACTGGAACTTCCAATACTTCTGTGGAGCACTGGAGTGCCCTGGCACTGGCACTACAGGACCTAGGCCCAGCCTCCATGGAACACTGGAATGCCACACTCGGCCACTGGTAATAGTGCTGCAGTGGCCCTGGATGCTCCATGAACTGTCCAAGACACTCATGTGCCAGGGCAGTTGCTCAGGAACCTTAGGTTTGGGGCAGCCTGCACCCCGCTCAGGTGAATGCCTATTACTGAATGCAGAGGAAAGCATGGTTTGGCTGCCCTGGACTGAGTCACCTGGTCTGGCAGGGGTGCCAGAGAAGACTGGGAACTTTAGGTCACCGCACAGGAATCAGCAGTGTATTTTACAGATGCCACAGGCACTAGCAGGCACCAGGAATCACCAAGGCTAGGAGCCAAAGGCAGCAGAAACTTCAAGGGCATGGCAGACAATATACATGCAGGTGGGTGTCTCCCTAATGCCAACAGCTTCTTCCCTGATATCCTGGGGACAGAGCTATGCTGTTGAATTGCATCTGTTGGTGAGCAGGGGTTCCTCTGCATTGGGGGAGATACTGTATAGGAGGGGCAAAATGCAGCCTCACTGCTGAAGGCTCACTGCTACATCAACCCCAAGGCATGGTTTCTTGAGATGATAAGTCCCAGCATGCCATGAAAACTCCATGTCCCTTTTGAACCAGGTTTTGAAACCCTCTCCTTCCCCCGGTTTGGGATCTTACAGGTAAACAACATGCTGGACTATGACAGTGAATCCATTGCCACTGCTGGCTTCCCATATTCATAGATTCATAGATGTTAGGGTCGGAAGGGACCTCAATAGATCATCGAGTCCGACCCCCTGCATAGGCAGGAAAGAGT